TCAATGTAGAGAAAATGTTCCTGTGTGTCTCATTGTAGATCTGATTCAATGCAGACGACAAACCTTTACTAATATTTTGCATTGTGATGATGAATGAGCTGAGAAGAAGACAGCTTGACTGTCAATTTGACTGAGTTTGAAGAGCTGGTGGTTTGAAAAACAATTCCTTCACTTATTAATTGAGCAAGTCTCACATGGAAAAATTGGATCAAATTCCACTGTCAGTTGCACTGTTGTAAATCTGCACACACTCAATTGAAGCTAATGGAATGATTCCATATTTACACAGCTGAAATGGAAGAAAAAGCACAATGTGACTCAGAGATATGAGGGTATCCAGATTTCACATAACTGTGATCACAAGTGTTTCTGTCCATTTCCCCCAAATTGATTTCTTCTTTTTTGAAGCCATTATTGTATATTTGGCTTTTGGTCAAGCTAGTACTAATGGCTTACCCTGGATTGGCAAGTAGGAGCCTAATCAGTGACAGTGGTAGGTGCCTGTATTTATCTGTGACATGAATTCACCCAGAGAACATGGTTTTTAATTTAGTGAATTATAACCTAAGAGCTATGAGCTTCACAAACAGGACGGTTCCTGTTTGTTGACAGATTATTTGGCCCAATCATATGACACTTCTGTTCACTCATAGCTTGTGTTATAAACAACAGAAAAATATCGCTGTATCAAAGTAAGATTTCAGTTTAGTTAGCTACTATCCTTGAATGTTAATGTTTTTCTTGCACAGTAATTGATACCATACACAGGTATTTGCAACTAAATACATTTAACACTTGTTGTGACAATTTTCACTTCCGTAGTCTTTAAACCAGTTTCTATCTTGTTTCAGGTACTAACTGGCTTGATCAAGTCTTAAATGACTTGGAAATTACAGCTGCAAAATATACAGAGGAGGAAATTAAAGAGAGAATTAATATTACAAATGAATTATTTGTATTTCCACGTCTAGAATTTGGGGATCCAGAGAAATTTAAGGTCAGCATGGGAGGATATTAGAAATGTTAATATGGACTGTAAGAATTGATAAACTGTAATGGTTGAATTTTACAGGCTATGGAGGACTCTTACCTCCCCCAAGGTGTGATCAGGTCAGCACAATCAGGGTGCAGTGCATTTGCTTAGCTAGTCCATGACTATAAACCATGGAGGTTCAGACAAGGGGTGGAGAATTAATGAAAACTACCTCTTCACCACTGGGTTTCCTTAGATTCTGATCTGTCGCTCTCTCCTTTGTACTACTACTGTCTGCATAGAGCTGACTATATGGAGAGGAGGGATTTGAGAGCCTCCACCAGAAAACAGGCAATTAGCAATGGGACTGGGGTTGAGGGAAGATTCTATTACTCCTCTCCATTTCATTTTCCAGGTAGTCTCCCATTCTGATTGCTAACAGCTTCTTTTGTAACGTTCAGTCAGCGCCAGGGTTTATTTTCTGCCCCATGGTTTCCCAGGATTTCAAGCAGCTGGAGGGACCCCCTCCCCTTATTTCAGAGTTATTAAGGGAGGCAATGGGAGAGCACTCAGACTCTGCCTTCGGAGAAAAGGATAGTAGGGAAAAGTTCTGTGGCTGCTGCTCTTGAGGGTCTTCCCCTTTCAATCTCTGCACTGCTCCGCAGATATAGGTGGGCCATAGAGCGTGGAAGGGCTTCATGCTCACAGAGAGGCAAGATCAAGATTTGGTATTGCATTCATCTGTTGCAGGAAAAGGACATTAGATAACACTGAATGCTGTTTGGGCCAGTGTTCCCTCTAATTTTTTCCATCCATGTGTAGAATGAATTTTGTTATGTGCATCATATCAAGGCAATGTGTGGACGTGCACCACCAGTAGAAACAAAAAGCCTAGATATAATATATATACCTTTAAAGAGTTACCATAGGGATAATTATTCCAGCCAGGACAGTTAAGGCATTTTAGAACTCATGACTCTTAAGCATAAGAGAGAAATACAAATTATGAAATGCATAGACCAGTCAAAAATTCAAATAACATACTTCTTTTAAAGTGATCAAGAACTAACAACAACAACAATACAAGTATGTGTTGAGAGGTGAGTGTGAAAGACAAAGTGTGTGTGTGTGAGACAGAGACATACACAGTGTGGGTTTGTGAGACAGACACCAGCAGCCACCAGCAAGTTCTCGCCATCCCACTTCTGAGCTCGGTTGTGCCCCTGTTGCTCTGTGGATATGGAGTACTGGGGTGGGAAGGGGAGGTGGATACCCTGACATCAGTGATTCCCCCCTGCACACACACACACACACTGCACAGCAAGCAGGAGGCTCTAGGAGCAGCTGGCCAGGGGCTCCAAGACAGAGGGCAGGAGCAGTGCGGCAGTGTGGGGAGGACCACGTGAAGTGTGTGGCACTTGATAGACTGCTGAGTGGCCGTGCAGCTTAGAGGGAACTTAGGTTAG